GAGGTGTGCGGCTTCGCCCCCTACAAGCAGCGCGCCATGGAGCTGCTCAAGGTCTCCAAGGACAAGCGCGCCCTCAAGTTCATCAAGAAAAGGGTGGGGACGCACATCCGCGCCAAGAGGAAGCATGAGGAGCTGAGCAACGTGCTGGCCGCCATGAGGAAGGCAGCTGCCAAGAAGGACTGAGCCCCTCCGGAATAAAGCTTTGCAGAAAAAAAACAAAAAAACAATAACGGGGCCAGGGAGATGGCTCAGTGGAATAAGCGCTTCCCTGGCAAGCGCAAGGGCCTGAGTTCAATCACTGGTTCCGCAAAAAAAGAAAAAAAAAAAAAGGACTGGTTAGGTCATTGGGGCAGGGGAGAAGGCTCAGTGGAATAAGCACTTCCCTGGCAGGCACAAGGGTCTGAGTTCAATCCCCGGTTCTGCAAAAAAAGAAAAAAACAAACAAACAAACAAACAAAAGGACTGGTTAGGTCATTGGGGCTGGGGAGATGGCTCAGTGGAATAAGCACTTCCCTGGCAAGTGCAGGGACCTGAGTTCTATCCCCGGTTCTGCCAAAAAATAAAAATAAATAAATAAATAAAAATAAAATAAAGCAATAGCAATTTTTCTTATAATGTACCAAAGCAAACAGAAGTTCTATCTAAAAAGAAGTTCCTTTTTCCTTTGGCACAAAGCTATTTTTTTATTTTGACTGAGGGATAAAAAGTTGTGACTGCTTCTCATATAAAAAAGAACATATGCCCCGCTGGCTCCTCCCCAGGGCGCACTAAGTCAGCTACCAAGTCTGTGGTGGCATATGCCTGTAATCCCAGCGCTGGGCAGGCTGACAACAGGAGGTTCACTATGAATCCAAGCTGTGTAGTGAGAACCTGCACCAAATACATTAAATATAAACAACTCTATGTATGGGAAAATGGTTAAGCAAGTGCTCCGCTACTGGAAAATGGCTTAAGAGGTTAAACTAACTTTCAAGTTTAAAAGTGGAAAATCATATTTAGAAATAAAAAAAAGATCAATTACATTACTCCTATCCCAGCATGGTAGTGCACACTTGTAACCCCAGCTATTCAGGAGGTTGAGGCTGGAGGATCACAAGTTCAAAGTCATCTTGGCGGCAACTTAATGGGATCTCTCTCAAAATAAAAAGAATTAGAGATGTTTCTTGCTGGTAGAGTACTTGCCCAGCATAAATGAGGCCCTGGGTTCATTCCCCAATACTAGAAGAAAAGTTTTATGTGTATTATAAATTGTGAAGACATTGGTCAGTTAAATATTTCATTTATAATTATTTTATATAAAACTGAATTATGGAAGGCTGCGCATGGTGGTGCACACCTGCAATCTCAGCATTTGGGAGGCTGA